ATAAATGCAGCAGAACAGGGGCTGTGAGCTTTGGGGTCACTCCAGGCGTGCTTACTAAATAAAGCTGTCTACGTGCTAAAAAACACTTATTAAAGTTTTTTGTTTACCTGGGCTGGAGCGATAGCACAGTGGTAGGGCGTTTGCCTTGCACGCAGCCAACATGGCCGACCCGAGTTCGATTCCTCCGCCCCTCTCAGAGAGCCCGGCAAGCTACCGAGAGTATTCGATATGCCAGACACAGTAACAACAAAGTCTCCAATGGAGACGTTACTGGGCCTGCTCGAGCAAATCGATGAACAACGGGAGGACAGTGATTCAGTGATTTATTTACCTGCTGCCAGGGTTCAGACCCAGGGCTTCACGCATGCAAAGCAAGTGCTCTTCCACCTAACTGCATTCCCATCTGCGGAGTCTAGTATATTGTATTTTAAGAGTCATTTTGAGAATTGGGACTTCCCTTCATTATGGTTTGGTTAACTATGAGGGAGATCGTCTTCACAAATAAATGTAAAAAACAAGATAGATTCGTAACGGGCCATAAATTCAGCTTTTTGGCCTTTGCCTTATAGACCCCTACTGAATTCCTAATTATTTTGTGGGAGAGGTAGTTAGGTTTAGTTTTGGCCCTCCCCCCCCCCCGCCCTCGCCCCCAACACACGCACACACCAGAGGTGCTTGAGATTCACTCCTGGTGATGCCTGGGCACCATGTAGCACTAGGAGTTGAAACCAGGGCTTCACAGTACGTAAAATAGGTTCTTTGAGAGGCTCGAGTTGCTCTTCTCAGCCTCTGCAATTCCTTTTTGGTCTTTGACACTTTGGTGGTGGTTGGGTGCAGTGACTTTGCACATCAGTGCCATAAGCTTCAATACTCTTGTAACCATGTTACCTAGCCTATTAAAAACAAATAAATGTGAATAAACAAATGTGAGAACTAGAGTTTTGTTCTTTTCCTTTCTCTGTTTTCCTCTCTTCTTTCCTTTCCTTCTTACTGAATCACAGTGAGATAACACAGTTACAAAGCTGATCATGGTCAGGTTTCAGTCATAGAATGTTCCAACACCCATCCCTTCACCAGTGTACATTTCTATCACCAATGTCCCCAATTTCCCTCCTGCCCCCCCGCAACCCCACCCCAGCACGACTATGGCAGGCACTTTTCCTTTTTTCCTCTCTCAGTTCCTCGGCCCCCTCCCCCCCCCCCCCGCCCCAACTAGGTTGTTATCTAGAAGTTTTCAACTCTTTATTAATTTGCAGTGTTATAAACATTGACACTATTAGGTGTGACTTGTCTAGTATGTAGTTATATTTGCTTTCTAGAGACCCATGCTTTAAAAAGTATGGAATTAAAAAAAAATAAATAAAAAGTATGGAATGTTCCACTGATGCCCCTTTGGAAATTGATTTACTTTAAATGTGCTCATCTTCATTTCCCTAAAAGATGATATCACTTCCATAAGCATCCAGTAACATTGCATGATGTAAACTTTCTGTGAAAACTTTTCTGTAAATGAGAAGTAGGGATTTGACAATTGAACCTTGTGGATTGTTACTGAGAACTCCTGGAAGCAATGTATGATAATTAGTTTTTTTCCTGGAAGACACTTTTATGAATTCTTTTCATTTGATTTAATTGTAGCCGATCAGCGATGCTTGGTTGTTATTACTGTGGAGACCAGTTAGTCTCAGATACTTATATAGTGTGTTCACAGTCTCACCCCCTGCCAGGGAATTTAGTGATAAAATGGATGGGGCGCAATATTCTAACTAAAAGCATGATCTTAGAGTATGGTGTATGGTGTTCTGAATGCATAGGATTTCTTTAGTCACGAATCACCATTTAATCACAGAAGTTATCCTTGAAATCACCCTGATTGTATTGATAATACTGCTTAGTGCCTTTGTGAACTGCCACAGACATATCGAGAGTGAGGATTGTTAGAGATTATTTCCAGCCAGACAAATCAAGACACTAGGCAGAATAATTTTGAAAAATGTTTTCTTTGTTTACCTTTGCAAATCCTTACAACTTCAGGTAAAGTAAAAAAAGTAAAGTAAAGGCCCTCCCGTTGATCATCGATTTGCTCGAGCGGGCCCAGTAACGTCTCCATTGGAGACTTTGTTGCTACTGTGTCTGGCATATCGAATACGTCACGGGGAGCTTGCCAGGCTCTGCCGTGTGGGCGAGATACTCTTGGTAGCTTGCCGGGCTCTCCGAGAGGGGCGGAGGAATTGAACTCGGGTCGGCCATGTTGGCTGCGTGCAAGGCAAACGCCCTACCACTGTGCTATCACTCCAGCCCACAACTTCAGGTATAATTTGAAATTGTGGTTTCAACTATAATTATTTTTTAAGTTGAGAGAAAAATCTTTTTACTTGCAGTGTCATTGTTTGCAAAGCAATCATTTATAAGACAAATTGAATTCTCCTCAGCTTTATTGATCCTTGCAGTTTTTAACTATAGCTATTATGGATATAATAACCATTATCCCAAATTTTCTGTGGTGTCCTGATTTCAAAATATCAGATACAGCATTCTGACTTGTTAGCTTATGTGTCAGTCTAGGATTAAAAAAATGAAAAACCTGATAAGGGTGGAATATTCTGTTTTTGCCAGCTTTTTATGCTAATGCTAATTTATTTATTTTTTTTTAAATTTTTTTTGCTTTTTGGGTCACACCTGGCGATGCAGAGGGGTTACTCCTGGCTCTGCATTCAGGAATCACCCCTGGCGGTGCTCAGGGGACCATATGGGATGCTGGGAATCGAACCGAACCCAGGTTGGCCACATGCAAGGCAAACGCCCTATCTGCTGTGCTATTGCTCCAGCCCATGCTAATGCTAATTTAAAGATTAGCATTAGTGATAAATATTGAGAACAGTTAAGGAGATTATTTATACATATTATGACAGTTTTGAACCTTAAATATCTTTAAAGATAGGTTTTAGGATTTTATATTTTGTTTAAATTAGTTTTGTGTTTTTAATTAATAATTCTAAAATGTGATGTTTTATTAACAGATATTTCTTGTTAACTGAAAGAATTTGGGGAGTGGTATTTACTGTGATAAAGATTAATGGTTCCTTTTTTATTACTGTTATCTTTGACTTTTTGTGATATTCAGAATGTCCGAGGCCCCCTGCCGGTAATTCCACCAACCCGAGTGGGCAGTTCAATGTAAGGGCCCTAGTATGAGGTGCTGTGATGCTGGGGATTACTTGGGACATCCTGGCAGTTCTGGGGGCCTCAGAGCCAAACCTGATGATGTTGGGCAACCGTATGGTGCTGGGAATCAAATCCAGATCAGTACTGCATTATTTCCGGACCCCAAACATTACGGGGTCTAAGATCAAATAGTTAAATGTGTGTGTGTGTGTGTGTATATTTAACTAATATATATGTATTTTTTTGTTAAGGCATCATGATTCATAGAATTATCAGTAATTGAACTTATCAGTGTTTTAACCTTGGAAGTACTTTGTTCTACCTTTTGTTTCCTCATCAATGAAATGAGTTTCCAGGAAGAGTTTCTGGGCCCTGGGCATGATGAGTAAGACCTTGTGGAAAGTATGTTGGTTGAGCAGGGTACAATCCATCTCTTAAGTCAGATCTGTCTTTATGAGAATGTTTTCAGTAGATCCCAAAACAAGTCCAATTTGCTCTTTAAATTACAGTTGGAGTTTGTCCTTTCCTCAACAATACAAATACGAAATGTTTTAAGAAAAGCATCTAGCATCTACCTTAATCTTACATTTAGACTAAGTCCTATTGATCTTCATGAAATTGGGAACTGACTATGACAGTCCAACAGAAAGGTTGTAACACCCACAGAAATTCAAGGCCACGGGGATGTTCAAAGGACTAGTGCCCGTGCTTTGCATGCCAGAGGCCCGGGCACAATCACTGGCATTACATTGTCTGCTGAGCACCAGCTGGTGTGGCCCCCAAAACCAGAACAAACAATTCGATTACTGCCTGGGGAAAGAAAGTAACACATAGATATTGTGTAGTACACAGGTATATGTATATGTTAGTGTGCACATATATGTATGTACGTGCATCAGATACATGTCATATACCTACCAGTGTGTGCATCATATACACAACACATTAGTAGATTGCAATTTACTGATAGAAGAGATAGAAAGTCAGCATACGTTATGTCTCTGATACATATCATTATTTGGTCTCAGGAATGGGTAGTGATTCTAATACAGTAGATAAAACCTAATTTCGTGTTTAAAATTTCAGCCTTATTAGCACTGATCTGGTTCTTAGGTGCCCGTAGCTGTGTGGTACAGTAATGTGATTGGGTAAGATATTACGTCAGCAGTATCTGTGGTGAACCTGTTGGACTTGAATATAATCTTCCCTAATCTTACCACATAAAGACAGGATTAATAAGCAGCACCACACCTATGAGAGGTTCTGGAATGCCTCGTCTTGGTTACAGATTAGATGTTTTACTTTATTTTTTCCCCAGTGAATGAGATCCTACTCCTAAAGAAGAAAGATGTTTGTAGTTTGAAAATTTAAAAAATTCCTATTTTAGACCCACGATTTGGGGGTTTTACAGTGAGATGATATGAAATGGTGATGATAAATTTAAAACCACAGATTCTTTTTATTTTTTGCAATGCATTTATTTATTTTTTGTGCAATATTAACATTAAAAAAACTTGTATTAAAGCATTTAATTTTATTTAAATTAAGTTGATTTAAATTTTGTCTCTGTTGTTTTCTATCTGTTCCCTTATTTTCTCAAACCTAGGAAAAGACTATGTTAAGGAACAAGTGTGTGTGTGTGTGTGTGTGTGTGTGTGTGTGTGTTTTAGAAAAAATTGCAGATGGTTAAATTAGAATAGTGATATTACAAGGCTTCTGCTTCCCATAAAGTTACTAGACTTTTTGCTGTCCTTGTTTTACTTCTGGGCAGTGTTTTGAAAACTATGAAGATAATAATTTTCTGGATTATTGTGTAACTCTTTATTAATTTCTAGGTATCTGGTGACCCATCTCATGGGGGCAGATCTGAACAACATTGTGAAATGTCAGAAGCTCACAGATGACCATGTTCAGTTCCTTATCTACCAAATTCTCCGAGGTCTCAAGGTACAGACAGTATAAGTAACAATTTTGTGTGTGTGTGTGGTTTTTAGGCCACACCCAGTGGTGCTCCAAGTGGACTTGCTTTAGAAAAAAAATGCTCAGGATCATTCCAGGAGGGATCAGGGGACCATATGAGGTGCCAGGGATCAAATGTAGGTCAGCTGCATGCCAGGCAGTTGCCCTACCCACTGTACTATCACTCCAACCCCATAGTAGTCACAATTTGAGAGTTGAATTCTCCCTTTCTCCCTTCCACTTACGGTTTGAGAGGGGCAAGCTTTTCTTATGGGAAATTTCAAACATTTCGTGACCATAATTATCAGCATATGGACAGTCTTGTCTCTTGTTTCCCCAAACTCCGGGATTACGAGTCTAGACATTATATCATTTCACCCGACATGTATGTCTGGGAGTTAAGGATGCTTCATTATTGCATTTTAACAGTGTGATTTCTTCTTATAATCTAATATCTGAATACGGTCATGAGGCTCATTTGTAGGAGGAGCAGATAAAGTGTTTTAAAATTAAATCACTTTTGATAGTGGCTTCGAGTCTTGATGGGGTTCAGAGCGTCTACCAGAAAGCAGGCTGAAAGCTCTAGTGCTTTCTTTCTGTGACTAGAGTTGATAGTATGAAGGAAGGCATTGTCATGATAAATATACAGACTAACTTGTATTTCCTCGCTCAGATTTTTATCCAAATGTCAATATAAGCAATTCTTAATGTACTTATGAAAATACACTTCAAAAATGTTGGATGATATCAGGTGGGGTGTGGGGTGGGGGCTGGGTGTTAGATATAACTTTCTTAACTCCTTTTTTTCCCTTTTTGACAGTATATACATTCAGCTGACATAATTCACAGGGTATGTATTGTAATTTTGACTAAACTATTTGGGCGCCTGGTTTGGTGGGGTGGTGGTGACTGAGGGGTGGCGTGGGTGTTGGGATTGGTCATTTAGTCAAGCTTTTAATCTAGACTTGCTTTAGAAATGAAAAAATGATTGGAACTTCGTTGAAGTTTAAACTGATTAAAGAAAGAGGTTGTGTGGTTTTTCACTTACTTTAGGCTTATCAAGACTAGAGACTTTCATTAGGGTAGAGATTGTTTAGAGCTAGGTGAAGTCTTGGATTTCTGGATCCTTATTACTGTTGATGGGAAGAGAATTTTCTCTGGATCGTGAATTTGTTCCTCCACTCTGTGCTTGCTTCTTAGGATCTAAAGCCTAGTAATCTAGCTGTGAATGAGGACTGTGAGCTGAAGGTAAGATGAAGAGACCGTGAACGTTGATTGCTTTACCTTGTGATTATGTCTCTGACTAACTAGTCAAAATTAGAGGTAGGGGCTAATTTATAAGCTGTGACTTTTTAATCTGCAAATGTTATCTTTAGGAATATCAGACTTTCAGATCAGTTGATTTATTTATTTTAGGATATTTCCCTCCTTCCCTTTCCTTTCATTGTTGCAAATGATCGGAGGTCATTTGTGTTTGTCTGAGGTGTTCACACATTTGGTTGTGGTTCTTAGCAAGATTTCTGGTGATGGTGCTCACATACATTCTGGTTGCGATTCTCACCAGAGGTTTCCTTGGTGCTCACATACGTGTCTGTGGCTGCGGTACTTCTGTATTTTCAGTTGCAGTGCTCTGGAAATCACTCGCTGTTGTGGCACTGAGGATCCCAGGAAATAGAGTCTCCTAGACCATGCATGACACGTGTGACTGTCACGGGACTCAAACTTACAGTCTTAGACTTCCAAGGCAGGTCCCCTGACTTTAAATCTTCAGTGTTAAGAAGTGACATTGAAGGTGGCATCAGGTGCCTTTTTCATTCTAAAATAAAGTTCATTAGGGCTGGAGAGATAGCACAGCGGGTAGGGCCTTTGCCTTGCACATGGCCGACCCAGGTTTGAGTCCCAGGATCCGATATGGTCCTCTGAGCACCGCCAGGAGTAACTCCTGAGTGCAGAGCCAGGAGTGACCCCTGTGCATCGCCGGGTATGACCCAAAAAGCAAAAATAATAATAATAATAAAAATTAAAGTTTGTTTATCTCCCCCATCCCTGGATACAATCCCAGTACATCACATAATGGTACCCCAGTGTACCATGAGGGGTCAGTCATATCTACTTAGAGAGCCAGGAATTGCCCCTGAGCACCACCCAGAGTGGCCCAAGCCCCTCTATCCCAAAATAATAAAGATCATTTAGAATTTTAGTATGTTAGTTAAAATATGTGCACGCGCACACACACACACGGAGCTGAAAATGAAGTAAGCAGTCCTGGACAGGTAATTATTAAATTTGTATTTTACTTTTCACTCGTTTTTCAGGAAATAGTTCACATATAATAAAATGCATTCTTTAAAGTGTACATTTAACAAATTTATATACCCTGCTAACTACTAATACAGGTATAAATAAGTTTTCCAATCCTTGGAAAGGTTCCTTTGTGTCTCCTTTTAGCCATTTCCCATGTCACTGCCCTAATCTTGGTTCACCCAAACATCCATGTGCTTTTTGCTGAGTAGATTTATGTTTCCTGCAGTTTCCAAAAAAAAAAAAAAAAAAGAAAGAAAGCAAAAGAAAGAAACAAAGACTTATACAATATTTTTTTATTTTGTGTCCTTCCACCTCAGTTACTTAACATAGTAGTTTGAGGTTCATTTGTGTTGCCTGTATATCAGTAGTTGGTTCTTTTTCACTGCTGTCTAGTATTTGATCTTGTAAATATATGACTATTCATTTCTTTGTCAACTTGTTGAGGAACTGTCCTTCACTTCCAGCTGGGGCTGTGGAAAGCTACTCTGAGTTTCCACATGCAAGGCTTTTTTGTAGACGTTGTGTTTTCATTGCTTTGGGAAAATACCTGGGAGTGGCATTTTTGTTTTGTTTCTTATAATACCTTTTTTCTTTTTTAAAGCTCTTGCCGTATTTAACACGCTTTTTTTGGGGGGGGGGGGGCGGGAGAGGTCATACCCAGCAATGCTTAAGGATTACTCCTGGCTTTGCACTTAGGAGTTGCTCCTGGCGGTGCTTGGGGGACCATATGGGATGCCAGGGATCAAACCCGGGTCAGCCGAGTGCAAGTATGCGATACCCGCTGTAATGTTGCTCCAGCCCCATTACCGCGCATTTTAAAGCAAAGATCAGCAAGTATATTTATGAGAATGCTGCATTATTTTCTCTTTTTATTAGGCACTAGAACTTTTTTGCTTCTGCTTTGAGGAGTGTGACTTTTCCAGTGGCTGATTTCTCTTTCTCCCTCTTAGATCTTAGATTTTGGACTGGCTCGACATACCGATGATGAGATGACAGGCTATGTGGCCACTCGGTGGTACCGGGCTCCTGAGATCATGCTGAACTGGATGCATTACAACCAGACAGGTATTGTTTGCCTTGGTTATTTGGGGTCTTACTGTTGGTTATCTGAGGATTCTCAGAAATGCAGATGGTAAGAGTGGGAAGAAACATCTTTTCCCCCAATCATCTTTTTAACGTCCACAGATAGAAAATAGAAAATACTCAGTTCCTCAGAGAGAGGTTTTTATACATGACTTTCAAACTTTCTGATTTGCGGTTGGGTTTCTTTTTGTTTGTTTGTTTTGAGATTTTTTTTTAAAATTAAGTCACTGAGATATACAGTTACAAAGCTGTTCCTGATCATGTTTCAGTCATCCAGTGTTCCAGTACCCATCCCTCCACAAGTGTACATTTCCCACTAATACCCAAGGACAATAGAGACAAGGGCCAGGAGGATTGGTCGGATTGGCCCATGGTTAGAAGCCTTTTTCGAGTGCTGGAGGAAAAGGCAGTTGAGATAGAGAAAGGACCACTATGACAAAGATAGCTAAAAATGATCACTCTGGCAGTTGAGTTTTTATATTTAGATATTTTTCCCCAGCTGATGTATCTGAGTATTTCTACCTGAAGACAATGGGTTTACAATCTTCTCCATATTTATTGGGATAATAATTTCTATCAATGTGAAACATTTACCATTTTATGAACTGCTTGTTTTTCTGAATATGATTTGACTTATGAAATCCTTTAATGGGATCAAGGTCTTAATAAGTTGATTTATATTAAAATGAGTATGAGTGTTGAATTTCTGATGTCTTAAATATGAATTTTGAGTATTTCATTCCTAGTTATAATTCCCTTTGTGACCAACTATGATAATGGTGACATTGTATGCACTTATATTTCTCTTTAATTTTGCCAGTTGATATTTGGTCAGTGGGATGCATAATGGCCGAGCTGTTGACTGGAAGAACATTGTTTCCTGGTACAGACCGTATCCTTTAAAAAGTTTGGAATTCTTGTTTCTTATCTGTATCCTAGGCTCCATGGAAGTGTATTATTTTTTCTTTTCTCTAGGGAAAACTCTTGGCTACTTCTTTTAGAATCCTAGGTTTGAATCATGAGATCTGCCCTCTTGCTGAACTAGCTCAAGAAAAAAAGCCTTCAGTTTACTTTTACAAGTTGAGAAAATTTCTCAGAAGCTGGAAAACTTGAAAAATCCTTCATATGTCATCTGTTTGCAGCAAGCTCCTTATTATAGCCAACTTCCCACAGCAGTTCTGCAACGTGGGGTGTCCTTGGGAAGCTGCGGGTCTCAGAGACTGGCTTAGTTTGCCTGCACTTACGCTAAATGAGCAGGACACCCATTTATAAATCTGAGAGGTATCTTGCTTATATGTTTGATTTACATGTTTAAAAGGTTCTGTTTGGTTTTGGTAGTTATATGTCTTATGACTCCTGTTAAGTTTGTTGAACTACAAATAGTAAAAGCAAGAAGTGATAAGGTTCCCTTGTGTGACCATCACCCCCCATTTTTATTTCCAGAACAACTAAATTTTTATCCCGATTGTTGCCAAATATGGTTCAGTTTGCTCCTAAACTTGGCTAATCTATAATGTATTATTGTCCTTTTATTTTAGCTCCTGTCATATTGCTGCATGCTCGTTTCATGGTTTAGTAATATCAAATTGTGGCTTGTTTAGTAATATCAAAATGCAGTCTTTCATTGAGGAAGATGTTTAGGTGAGAAAAATGTTCAAATGTATGACTGAAATTCTGTTTCCGGATTTATTTGTAACTGTATTTGACTAGTTGTCTATAGTTTATGTTGATCTTTTAGAGATACTACTCTTATAGTTGTTCTAAAATGCTAAGAGGTCTAAAAGCTGTCTTAGCCCCTTACCTAGGCAGACTCCTGCATCTGTAAATCCTGCTGTCTGTCTGGTTGGTTAGAGGCTGGGATTACTTCTTTGGTGACTGTGATACTCGTGTTGTCTATCTGCATATTCTAACTATCTTCTGCCCGAGAAAATGTATTTTCTTCATGAACCTCTGTCCTTCTGGCAGAGAGAGCAATTTCTATTACTTTTCTTGCCAGAAATGTACGATCTCATATTTTAGCATAATGGTTTAGCCTTTATTGTGCATCAGAATATGTAGGGCTGGGGAGAGAGCGCAGAGGTCTGGAGTGCATACCTTACATGGAGGAGTCCTGGGTTCGATCTTTACCACAGCTTAGTCCCCCAACTTCTGCTGGTATGACCCACGAAAGCTTTCAATGATGCCAGAAACCTGGACACCGTGCAGAGAGACTCAATATTAGTTGTTAGTTGGTGTGAGCCAGAAAAAGACTTTGGTATATTTATTAAAACTCTGGTGTGCAGCTGGTGTAAGTAGATTTGACTAAGTAGAATTTTAGTTTTAACCTTGGCTGATGCATAAAAATTTCTTAGCACTCTTTCATAATTTAAAAGGGGGGGGTGGAGCAAGAGCACAGCAGGTAGGGTGTTTGCCTTGCACGTGGCAGACCCAGGTTCAATTCCCAGCATCCCATATGGTCCGCTGTGCATCGCTGGGTATGACCCCCAAAATGCAAAAAACAAAACAAAGTTTGTTTATTTCCTTCCCTTGTTCTTAGGTTCTGCTGCGTTTGTAATGATTGGGAGTAACTGATTGTGGAACCCACCAGTAATCACACGCTTGTTCGCAGTGCTAGAAGTTTTAGTTAAAGTGCTTGCTGGGAGTGACACATTTTAGCTAGGTGACTTGCACACATTTTGGCTATGCTACTCACTGGACTCTCTGTATTTCATTTGCTTGCACACTGAGTTGTGCTTCCCAGGGCTCGCACACTTCAGTTGCAGTGTTCACACACATACACTTGGTTGCAGCCCACTGTCATCACACGTGGGGATTTGGAGCAGGTTTGGGGTCTCCCTTGTGGCCTCATTGCTTGTAAGGTAGGCGCGTGTTCCACTGAGCTACTCTGGTCACCTTTCCTTGTCTTTCTTTTTTCTTTTTCTCTGCAGTACCAAGGATCGAACCCAGGTCCCTGGATCAAAACCAGGGAGCTAAGCTTGTTCTTTTAAAGATTCCAGTAATATCAGATAATTAAGAATCTAGACTCCAGAGCCTCGGGAAAAAAAAACATTTGAAACATATCTAGTTGGACCCCTGTTTGTATATCTAAACCAAGACCGAAGGAAAATAGATGGAAAAACTGCATCCACCAGTAGAACACTTGCATTGCGTGTATGAAGTTTCATCCGCAGCCCTGCAAAATGAAACTATGACTCTGCTCATTGTCACTCCAAAATTCAATTTGTTGTCCCATTCCCTGGTTCCTCGATCTTGTCTTTTTAAAACCTTTGGAGAATGTACTGGCCTCACACTGGTTCTCCCTTTGCTCGCAAGGGCCTGCAGTGACTATTTATTTGGGACTTTTTTAGTGCAGCCAGGTGCCAAGGCAGCCTTTTGATTGTGTTCCTATTTATCAGTCATCTTGTATTTTGAATTGGTGGTTTTTGTTTTCAGATAAAATCTAGGGGCTAGAGCAATAGTACAGTGGGTCGGGCACTTGCCTTGCACAGGGCCTGACCCAGGTTTGATCTCTGGCGTCCCATAGGGTCCCCTGAGCACTGCTGGGTGTGACCCCCAAACAAACAACAGCAACAACCACAAAAAAACTACCTAATAAAGGTTTCTGTGGTGAACCCGGATGATAGCTCTAGGGTAGGTCCCATGCAGATCTGGCATGTGGAAGGGCCCAAAGTATGATCCCAGCACCCATGTGAGCACTGCTGGGTCCAGCCCTTAGTGGCAGGCTGAGCACCCCAGAATTCTGCTGGATGTGACCCGTTTTTTAAAGAAAAACATGTTTCTGTGTTGCTGGGAATGTTTTCTAGCTGCTATCCAATGTAGTTGAAGGTCATCAACCACATGTGGCCACTGAGTTACATAAAGCGTGGCTTAGTGAAACTTAGTCACTGAATTAAACATAATTTTTTGTGGTATCTGTCATAAAATTCATCCTGAACTATTTTATTGTAGTTAAATGTACATAATGTAAAATTTATTATTTTAATCTTTTTTTTTTAGACCATATTTTTAAGTATACTGTGGCACTCGTTACATGCATGATGTTCAGTTTTTTACCACTGCCTATTTCCAAGACATTTTCATTGTCCCAAACAGAAACTCGGTACTCACTGAACACCGACTCCCGTATTCTTTCCACCCACAGCTTCCGGTTACTTCTCTTCTTTGTTCTGTTGCCATGAATATGCTTAATCTAAATATTCATATAAGTAGAATCAGCAGTATTTGTTTGGATAGTTTCATTTAGCGTAATGTTTTCTAAATTTGTCTATGTTGAAATGTGTATCAGAGGTTTTTTTTAATTTTTTTTAATTTATTTTTATTAGTGAAACACCATGAGGTACAGTTGTAGACTTACAAATTTTTGTGCTTGGGTTTCGATTATACAATGATCAAATACCCATCCCTCCACCAGTGCCCATTCTCCACTGCCATGTATATCAGAATTTTATTCCTTGTTGTCACTCTTCCATTGTATGTGTATGCCACATTTGCATACCTGTCATCTATTCAGGGACCATAGGGTTGTTTTCACTTTTTGCTTACTGTGAACAGTGCTGCAGTGAAACTTGTAAGTGCAGGGAAACAGTCAGTTTCTGTTTGAATCCCTGTTTTTAGTACTTTCAGTCAATATCTAGGAGTGGAATTGTTGAATGATGTAGTAATTCTTCATTCAGCTTTTTAAGGATCTGCCTCAAACTTCCACGCTTGCTGCACTATTTTACATGCCTATAGTGTTCTGTGAGCAATTTCATTAGTAACACCTGTTCTCTGTGTGTGTGTGTGTGTGTGTGTGTGTGTGTGTGTGTGTGTGAGAAAAGTCATTTCACTCATAAAAAGTATTAATCTCTTTTGTTTTTCCTTTCTCTAATGATTAACCATGTTAAGCATGTATCTTTACCTAAATTTACTTACCGTTTGTGTGTCTTCTTTAAAGAAATAGCCATTCAAGTTCTTTTATCTGCCTACTTTCCTAATGATGTCCTTTGATGCACAAAGATTTTTTTTTTTCTTTTTGGGTCACACCCAGCGATGCTCAGGGGTTACTCCTGGTTCATGTACTCAGGAATTACTCCTGGCGGTGTGTGTAGGGGACCATATGGGATGCTGGGAATCGAACCTGGGTTGGCCGTGTGCAAGGCAAACATCCTACCCATTGTGCTATCACTCCAGCCCCCTGATGCACAAAGATTTTATTGTAATGAATGCTTCATTTTGGTTACTAAAAGAGTTACTGTTTTGTAACTAAGAGTTTTTAGGTACTTACTATATTTTTACTCCATTTTGAGTTAGCTTTTACTTTTTTTTTTAAGTTTTATTACATCTTTATTTTATCAGCCACCCTTCAGTTGGTTGTTGTGATGACCAGGGAGTTTCACGCATGACCGGCTGTGGTGCTCCCATTCAGTTTAGTTGTGGTGCTCGTGTGCATCTTGGTTGTCGTGCGGGATCCTGTGCTTGGTAAAGGTGCTCATTTTGGCCGTGGTCCTCATGGCCATGAGGCTCTCCTGTTTATCAGTTGCAGGACAGTTGCAGGATCTGAGACTGCAGAGCTGCCAGGGTCCTGTTCCATCACGTCGCAGCACCAGGAATTGAATTCACTATCTCAGGCTCACAAGGCAGGTGTTCTAAGCCAGAGCCTTGAGTTAAATTTTTTTTTAAATTTTTATTAATTTTTAAAATTGAATCACAGTGAGATATACACAGTTGCAGGTTTATTCATGATTGAGTTTCAGTGATACAATGTTTCAACACCTGTCTCTTCACCAGTGCACATTTCCCATCACCAGTATCCCCAGTTTCCCTCCTTCCACTCCCAACCTGCCTCTATGCCCCCCCTCCCCCCTTCACTTCCTCTCTCACTCCCTTCCCCCCATCTTTCTCTTTCTCTGTCTC